GTTAAGAGGCAGCAAACAAACTATGGCATTGTGCTTATTTAACTAAGAATTAAGTACAAAAATTCTTGGACGACTTATCTTAATTTTAGGAATTTATATTACCGCCATCTTCGAAATTTCTTTTTAAAATCTAAGATTTCCAAGCTATCGTGCCGGCGTCGAACGAAAGAATCGTATCTAAGATCTGCGGACGGCATAGCGTTAATTATTAATACAAATTTATTAATTTAACCGTAGGTTCGGAACGAATTTCAGTTCGACGAATCGGTCTTTCCGTGTCACTACCAGAGAAACCAGCAAAGTTTTTCACGTATTTATAATCTTATAATAATATAATTATATCTTATAACATTTTCATTTTATATCCAATACCTGTCGTCCACAGCGACGCAATACCCGTCGAGCGGCTTCGTCCTCAAAGGGTTAAACCTCGAAAGCGATTCGACGCGAGTTCAACCGTTCGAGTCCCGCGCCGTTGAGATTTTATATCGAGAAAACCCAGCGCATTTCGAACATCGTGGACGACCGACGGTGCGTTACCGATCGTACATTTTAGTACATTTTACGATAGGTAGAATAATGCTACGATAACGCAACGATACGTTACAAAATAAAAATTTGTAATTCGTTATTATCGCGCCGCTCGGTATTTCTCGACGTAAAATAAAACAAGCGCTGTCGCGCCGCTCGGGTCTTTTCGTACTCGTTTAGAGAAAGCGCGGTTGCGCCGTTTGGGATTCTTCGACGGTGTTTTTTCGATACCCCCTGGGACTCGAACGGTTCATCGTAGAAAAAAGCAACGGGACTCCGTCGATCGATTTTCGCGCGGTCGTACACGATATCGCGAACTTCGGAAGCCTTCGAGGCTCGATGGCTCGGCCCCTCGAAGACGCGGCGAACCCGCGGAACGCGTCGAACTTCTTCGTTCTCGACCGAAAACCACTTTACGCAGGCACCGGTCTGCCACCGATTGGAATTTGTACGCGGGCACGCCGGCATCCGAACGGCTCTCGTTTTTTCCTCGTTTTCTCCGTCCTTTTCTTTCGATTGTTCGCCCCCCTCGGTCTCGACTCGCGATACCGTCGATACAACAACGTCTCCCTAACCGACGCTCGGATCGTGCAGAAGAACGGACAATTTCGGAAGAGGAGATACGATTAATTCGAGTCTCGCGGCTCGTTTTTATAATTAACGATTCGATAATCGTATCTCTTCTTCTGAAATTGTCCATTTTTCTGCACAATCCGAGCGCCGGTTAGGGAGACGTTACCGTACTCGTCGTCTCGGCGTCGACGAACGAACCGTCTCCTCGCGTTCGTTCTCCTTTCGCGCTCCGTAATACGATACTCGAGCATCGGACACGGCAGTGGTCACGGTTATCTCGCGGTCGACTCGAATTTTCTATTCGGTTAACGAGCAGCAAATTACGACTAACGCGTTTTCAGCTCGGCGTCTCGATCGCAGCGTTCGCTCGGGAAAGCGTAATCGGATGCTGCGCGACTTCGCGCGAAATCATCCGGCACGGTGCCGCCGATCGTTATCGGTTTCGCGACGCGTTCGATAACCGACGCAACGTCGATTTGCTTTAATATCGGATACGCTGCGGATCGTAAGATCGAACGGCGCGAGTGCCGGCGTTGACGCGGCGCCGCGAACCGTGCCTAAAACGCTGATATCTCGTCGTCGGATCGTCGAGCGCGGCGATTCGAGCTTATCGGATGCTGCTCGGCCATCGACGTATCTCGTTACGCGGGTAATACCGAGTTGTAAAATTAACCCTTAGCGCTCCACGCGTTTCTCTCGAGTATGTACTATCTACCGGCAACTCCGGCACATTTTTCGAGCAAAGCGCCCGAGATGAAGGAAGTCTTATTTCGAGCGGAAAAGATTACGCGTCCTCGCGAAAGCGTTCGATTTTATTCGTTTCATGTTGTCGAGTATAAAAATGGGCAAAAAGTGTTTGAATCGTAACGGTACACGCGTCGAGCACGTTTTCGCTACAAATAACAATTGCCAACGTCGAGAAGAACGCAGCATCTTCGGTGTGATCGCGCTAAAAACATTGGGCTCCGCGGCAGAGCCTTCGGATTTACGGAACAAACGACGGATGTCTCCGTAGCGGAGCCAACGGAGCGCCAAGGGTTAAAGTGCACGGGAGAGAGAGAGAGAGAGAGAGAGAGAGAGCTGTGCTCGCTGGACCGGGGCCGGTACCCTCGTCGGTTTATTCGTAATCCAGCGAACGAACGATCCCCGGTTTCGTTGAATATGCGAGCGAACGCGTGGCCGCGTACGCGAGCGGGGTCCTCCCTCGTTACCGGCCAGGAATTTCGTTGGTTGCCGCATCGAGAACGCGCGCGAATCGCCGAGACAAATTCTATCATCCGGCGACGTCGCGAGCGCGCGAGAAGCGCTTCCGCGTAATCGAAACTTTCTCGCGCGAAAACCGGACGAACCGATCTCGAAAGGTGTCGGAGGCGCGTCTCTCGAGGCCTGGCCGATTCCTTCGGAAACTTTCGACGATAAACGCGATCGTATCGAGCGCGCGCGTCGCGTCCCTGCGGCAGCGATACCAAAGAAACCCGACGAACACCCAGTATACGGGCTCGTTCTCGATTCGAACGCGGACATAATGGTCGATGGACGACGGCCGATAAACGAGTCGCGGCCTAGCGCGAAACGATTCGCCGGCATCGGCCGCGGCCGGGGAATTTCGAAATTGGACAATGTCGTTGGAAGTTTCGCGCCTCGATCCTCCCCGGACGAGCAATAATTAATAAGACGCCGAGCTGCGCGAATGGCGAGCATCGAGCCCAGAAAGAATGTGTCTAAGAAACCTGTTTGGGGAGAGCCAATATCTTACGAGGTCCTCTCCTCTTTCCTTCTCTCTCTCCCCCCTCCCTCCCTCCCTCTCTCTCTCTCTCGCTCTCTTCGACTCTCTCTCTCTCGCCGTCTCTCTTTCCGGCCACCGGAGCTCGCCGAAGAACACACGTGTGCACCTTCTCGTGCATTGCGACACGCAGAGAGCTTCTCCCGAATGCTCAGGTGTTAGCAGATATTCCCCCGCTGCCTTTTGCCGCCTTATTCGTTTTGCATCCTCGCCGGTCGATTTCTTCGTCGCGTATTCGCGTATCCGACCATATTAAGGGATCTCCTTCGACGCTTTCGAAAAATCTTTTCGAACTTCTTTTTTTCTCGTATTCCGTGGACCGTGGAGATCGGTAGGCATTCGCGCCCGGGTCGGACAGATCCGACACGGGCATTCCTATAAATAGATCGTACGCGATACGGAGAGATCGAAAAAACACTACGATACTACGATGTTATAACGCGGGACGCGCGCGAGACTTTTCTTCGAGGGTTGCGCGCCGCGCGCGGCGTCTCGGACGCGCCGTTCGCGTAGTTTCGCGTTACAACTCGCGACCGCAGCATCGTAAATATTCTCGATAAGGACGCGGAGCGGCGGCATCCGCGGCGCGAACGGACCGACGGAAAGCAGAAATCGCCGCACCGGCCGACCAAATGTACGATCGCGCGATCGCGAGACGATCGCAACCGCCGCGCTCGCGAGACGATTTTTTGGAAAAGAGACGCGAGACGCGGCAAATTCGCGAAAACTTCTCGTTCGCGTTCTTGGAAAATTGTTCGGCGCGAGCGTACGCGCGCGTTATCGTCGTTCAAGGGGGAAACGCCGCGTTCCGCGGCGGAGTTCGCGCGCTCCGCATCGAGCTCCGGAAAATAATTGGAAACAATCGTTATCCGCGGGTCCGCTGAAAAATCCCGCTATCGCTTCGCGGCTTAGCCGCCCCTCGCCTCGATAATGTTCGAGCATGGTTTACGAACGATCGGAGGGCCGATGAAAGAAGAATTTCTCGGCCGGCTTTCTATCGTAATTAATTCCGATAACGGGGAAACGAATGACCGCGACATAAATAAATGGCGATTTTCTGCCGAACCCTCGCGGAGAGGAGAGACATCCTCGTTGCGCCGTATCGCCGCAACGAAAATTGATCGGACTCCGTTCGAGCGAGCAATATACCTTTGGTATCGCGGCGACGCGTGCTGCGAACAGGTGGGGCGCGGCGGGCCGCTCTTATCTAGAAACGATCGTTCGCGAAACTCGGAAATCGTGGCTGCGCGAGACGAGGATCCGACGGCGAGATCGCCGTCGAGCCGCGGACGAACCGAGAGAAGATAATTTCGAACGGTTCGAATTCGCGAGATCGTTTCGCGAAAGATCGAGGCGCCGCGCGATCCGCGGCCGAATAAATTTTCGTTACGAGAAATCGAAATCATCTTCTTACGGGTGTAAAAGCGGCGAGTTATCGGTGCTCCACATAATTAAGTCAGCAACGAGCACGGTACGAGCGAACCGCTCCGATTAATCGTCGGCAGAGGCAGAGGGAAAAAGCGATAGCGAGCGTTTCTAATTATATTGAAATAGAAGGAACGGGTTGGACCGAAAGGGAAACAGCAGCGAGATAGAGAGAACAAGAAAACGGCCGATGTTGGATCTTTTAATCGGGAGTCGCTCGACACCGTTATTTACCTTTCGTCTTTGCTCCGCGCAAACGAAAGACTATTTGTATCGCGCGCGGCGGGACACTTGCTTGGAAGGCCGACGTTTGCGGAGCTCGCGGAGTGCTAATAATTTTTCCGTCGGCCACCGGTTATAAAAGTTCTCTCGTTGCTCGACCCTCGACCGTTCCCTTCGCGCGGTCCAATTTCTTCCTTTTTCGGAGCGCGAAGCACCGATCGTCGACGCGAGGCATCCCGATCGATGCCTCGACGTTTTTGGGTTGCCGTCGTTGCCACGAGTTTAAACGGCGAAATCGCTGAAATCGTTTTCCAACGAAAGTAAAAATTACTCGGTTCTCGTATAAAAATCGCGAGGATATCGGCTCGAGACGAGAGCGTCCGTCGACCCGTCGCAAAGCTCTCCGAAAACGATCCAGTTTCGGATCGTTTCGGCGATCGCCGTGACGCGTCGTTCAGCCGCTTACCTTGGCCTTGGTAATGGTGTTCGCGACGGCATCGAGATGAACGAAGACGGATAGGAGGATGGCAGCGCGTATCATCGGGATCATCATCGTGTCCTCGGCCGGCGGCGGTGGTACGTCCTCGAGGGGCGAAGGACCGAAGCCACTGGTCCGACACTTACGTACACGCACTGGCCACTCACA